CTGAAAGGGCGAGCATGTTTGGTGTGACGGGATTCGAACCCGCGACCAGATTGCGAGTTGAACGTCCCTAACCACCTGGCCATGCCAGGCTACAGCACTGGAAGTTGTTAAGAGAACCGGGGTGGCCTAATCTTTAGCGTGTTTGAACGGTGAAACCGAGTGTCCTAGTTCGCGTCTCGCTACCACAAAAAGGAGCTTTGCATCTTTAGGCCTAGACTGCGCTATAAAATTAAAGTCAGATAGCACTATTCAGTCAGATAAGAGTATCCCAAGAGTTGGCGGTGGGTGGTGTTGACTAGCTGTCTTCCTTCTTATCTGTCAGTTCAAAATTATGGTCAATTAGTCGTTATGTAGCTTTGCGCAAAAATTCGAAATAAATAAATTATAAAAACCATTGCGATTATTTAAGAAATAGTGTATTTAAAGCAAATTATAAAGAAGGAGTTGGATAACTTTTTTACCGACCTTATTCTAACCAATAGAATCATTCGAAGTATTTGAAACGACTTCAGAGCAAGGACAGTTATGTACTTGGCGGTTAGTCATTAACCTACGGTTTAGATTACATTCGTATGGTGTAAAGGTGTAAAATTATAAGAGATTGGAAGCCAACCTGATCTATACCAAACGTCTATCCTGTTATGGAGAATACGCTTTTTTTATCATTTTTTCCACCACTTATTTTACATTTTTATTTGGGTGACAGTTTGCTTATCATAGAGTAATAGTAAACGGGCTACAAAAAGCTGTATGTACATGTTTAAAATGTTCACAGAGTGATTTCTATAGCAACGGATTTTCTGCGTTACTTCCAAAATATATATGCACGTAAACTTCTCGTTAAAATCTCTTTGTATATAACACATTATCAAACTTTAATTAAGAAACAAAACCGAATGAAGCGGTTTAGTAAAGTGCACAAGTAAAGTATGTAATGTATTGGAACCACCCACACAAGAAGAGGGGGAAAACTAATTGAAAATAACGTATCCCCACTATATCTTGTTATTTTTCGGAAAATGTTGTTAGTTTCCGATCTATTCAGTTTCAGTGATTTCAGTACAGATTGTCAGGGAACGGCTCAGTCTCATTCGCTAATTCTTTTCACAGATATTACGTTTGCAAAATAAAATAACTTTTAGGTATTTGGATAATATCTAATCACTAGCAAACCAGTGATATCGCTGAGTTTCGAAAATACAATGTCTTTCTGGCGAATGTTAGGATATAATGTGAAACGTTGTAGTTTCCCTCTTTAGGAAAAAACAAAACAAAACAGTTAAATTCTCGGGTATAAGGTTTATTTTAGGAAGCAATACATATTACAGTGTATTATACCTTTGAAACTTCTAAGTGAACATTCCTTAAGCCTAGTTCTTGCATTTTATCTGTTTTAATTTATTGACAAGATAAGAACATTACGTTACCATTCGATTTAGCTTTGTGTGTAATAATGATAATAATATTTTTTTTTAGTAGACGGCAATGATGATATTTCTTTCATCGTTGTTGATATGGTGTCTACGATATTTTCTAAACAGGACAAAAATCAGGAATTATCGGATTCACAGTCAGAGCACACTAACCACGAGGCCACGCCCGGATCACATATAATATAACTGATAGAACAGTTCTAGTCGTGACTTATCATTCGGAGTAGCAAAACTGAAGGCTATTACTTATGTACAATGCAACTGTAGAACAAACTTTGGACCTCAAAGTTAGTTTATTATTCATATTGTCGATGATCTAACATTATCATGTTTACACATTAAGATTGAGAATGTGTGATTTAACTTTATTAACTCTAAACACCTTCCTCTCCCTCCGGTGGGACAGCAGTAAATTTACGGACTTACGACGCTAAAGTCCGGGGTGCGATTCCCCGGGGTAGGCACAGCCTAATCTTGTTTTACTTTAAACCAAACACTAATAACTTCCTACTATTGTTTTATTTACCTATACTTTAAGCCAACACAGAAATAAAAACGACTAATATTGTCAAGTGCATTTATCAAAGAATTGAGTATTTTCCAAGCTATAATTATGATCAACGAACTTCATTAATTTGAATGGCAGAGCTCTCTTGCCATTAATGCGATGTTATACCTATTTTCATCGAGGCCACATTGGATCATCGTTAAAACGCTTTTATTCTTGGTAAAATCAAGAGCTTTATATCATGCGTTAGATTTCAGAATTCCAGCTAAAGTCTATTGGTTTAAATTCGTCGACGAGGAACTTTCATAATCAAAGGCATCCCGCTGATTAAACCACAGATAGTTTCAATTCCGTTTAATAGTTTTGCTCTAATATATTTGCGTCTTAAATTCTAATGCAATTCAATACATAAAGCAGAAAGACGTTACGAGATACGTAATTGTCAATATTTTAGTGAAATCCAAAACTTCCCACTGAGAAAATATAAAAAACAGGTTCGATTTAGAGCTGAAACTAATTTATACAAGAATGAATGATACCATTTGTTATAAAAAATTACGTTTCAACAGCGTTTCTCAAACAGATAACAGTAAAAATACAAGTTAATCTTGGGCGGAATTTCCTAAAACGATCTTAATATCTGCACATAGATTACATCGAGCCACTGATATCTTGATTATATCTTGAAATCTCTTTAATTTCATATATTCTCACGTAAATTAATATCTACTCAAATAGATTAAGTATTGCACGGAAAATAGTTATGTTGATCACGATGGATCATTATTTAATTGGATTAAAGTAATTAACATATCCAACTCAACAATGCTTCAATATGATTTCCATAGTTTTCATGAACTCTACTAGATGAACAAGTTAAACAATACTTGAGATTCTGAAGTATTAAAAAATTTAGGAGTTTTTTGTTTTTTAAGGAGAATGTTTGGATGTAGACCTTTTTGGTGAACCAGTCTAAAGATTCTTGAGGAGATGAAAATTCTGTTAAGCTATAGATAAAACAGAGATCCAATTTTAGCCATTCCTTTAGCCATAATTTTCAATTTTATTTCGAGTATTTTCTTATTTTCAAGGCACTGGGGCAAAACAAACGTCAACCAATCAAAACAGCTAGTTGTGTGTTATACAATCCAGGAAGCTAGCATTCAGATTGGCATGACCTGTTGATTAGGACACTCGACTCGCAGTTTGAAGGTCGCGGGTTCGAATAGCGTACACGAACATGTATAATGTTACGGTCAATCCCACTCTTCATTGGTCAAGAATAGCCCAACAGTTGGCGGTGGGTGGTGTTGACTAGCTGCCTTCCTTCTAGTTTATCACTCGAAAATTAGAGACGGCTATCGCAGATAACTCTCGAGTAGCTTTGCACGAAATTCATACAAGCAAACCTTTCAGATAAATTTTGCGAGGTTTTTTTTTTTTTTATTGTTGGCTACGATGTTTGACTAAAGCTAAAACTATTGCTGTTTTACTACTTATAAAAAAAAGGTTCTTTTTTAAAATTTAAATGTTTCTACTTTTGTAAGGTTTTAATTATGCAGCTTATTGCGTTGAGATAATATAAAATTATAAACCTAAAGTATCAACTCTCGTCCTAATGTCAACTTACCAAGTAGTGGACGCTTTTTATGTTTCCTATAATAGTTGAAAAGCAGTTAAGTCATAACTTCTCTAAAATATGTGCAAAATAATCTAAATATGCATAGTAATGTGGAAACTCGTATCATCACACTGGTAACTAGAAATCTACCAGAGTATGGGTTCTCAAACTGATGGGTAAGTTTGTGTATCTAGCTGTAATGATACATATTCTTATGATAGGCAAATAAATTAGTTTTAGCGCAAAGTGGTCTATATGCGCTCTGTTTCACTGCGGGGAATCGAGACCCGGATTGCAAAGATATAAATCCGTAAACTTCTAAACTTCCATCGATCCACCAGGCTATCAACAGATAAATACACAGTAAGAAATCTTCTTGTTATAATAGCTAACATAATAAACAAAAAACAATTATAGTGTTTGTAAAATATTGATGTGATTGGCGAGATTTAAAGGAATAGAAAACAACTGATGAAACTTCAATTATAATTTCCATGTTTAAATCAATGATGAATTTTTATGCAACAATTTTTGGTTAAATTTTGACTGCAATTTCTGTAAGAATTATGACTGAAATATCCGTTTTTACCAACCTGTTTTTTGATTTATATAAAAATATGCCAGACTTCTTTGACTTGGTAGAATGTAGTCGACCTGACCATAGACATCCCTGTCCATGTCTATGGCGGAAACAGTGGTTATCAACGTTCCTGGGGCTACGTCATTTCTAAGAATAACTTCATATTTGTTCCTGTCGAAAACTGGAGAATGTTGGTTGGCACTTCGGACGTTGATTGATACACTGGTGTAACTGGAATACACGCCGTCAGTGACTGTCACATTAAGTGTGTAGAACGATTGTTTTGAAACTGTCGTGGACTAGCAACCGTTATAATTCCTGAAACAATGAGACGTACACTGAATCATATAACATAACCAATGTCTAATCATATAGCCATATAAAAATACAGTTCCTATTACCTTTGTGATGAAAGCTCGAAGCAAAAACATTGATCAATATTATTACATTTTATATTACTTACCAATTGATTCTTGAATGAGGTACATGAGGTAAGAATTTTTAGTACGATTCTAATTCGTTAACTAATACAAAAACATATTTTTCAACTTATCATATATTCAATTAGAATGAACAGTACTTCACTATTGGCCTAGAAGTTACGAAGGAAAACAACCACCTTGAAGTGAAACTTTAATACTTTATAAACACAAATACTAAATAAAATATACCTGGAAATATGAACAAAATTTAAAACTAACAAAGGTAGCAGTTTGTTAATTTAGATATTTTAGTCTTCTTAAACTCAATGCTTAATTTTTTATGGAGTTGACATATATGATTAGCAGCGTTAATAAACGTTTTCGCTCTTTCAATTTCTTTCAAGTACAGTTAGTAAAAGGTTATTTTGCTATAATACTTTCAAACATTATTTCTGGTATTAGCATAGGTAAAAATACTATTAAAATTATAGGTAAATAAATATTTATAGTTGTTACTCATAAGCAAATCCAAGTTTCCACAGATTCAAACCTTACTGCATTTAAATTATAAATGGTAATATAAAACTTTCAAATATAAACTCTGATATCATGCAATGACAATAGGAGACTGTGGATTTTGTGAATCCACACCTCAAAACAGTCATTTCTTGTAGCAAAACCCAACATTATTTACAACAGAATTCCAGTAATTATTCTAGAAGTTCGTTACCTACCCAACTTAATAACACAATTAAAATCGTAATATTAATTGTGGTACGTCTCTGATCGATCTACTATTAACATTGCTCACTATATATAATGGTTAGTAAATGATCGCATTTTCACGAGAAAGAAACACCAACATTTTAAATATTACGGACTCAACAAGAATGAGATATACCTATTAGTTAAAACTGGAAGCTCAGTAGAAGAACATTCAAATATTGGGAGAACAGTGAATGTATTTCACGAAGTCCTATGGTACTGTTTATATTATGTCATTAGTTCTCCAAAAGTGTCAGCGTTACGTTTTTTTTTTCAAAGGAGTATTTTTAGGTAAAAACGAAACAAAAAACACATCATAATTTCAGTCAAATGGCCAACACAAGAGGCTTGATAAACATGAATACTATTTAACAACAAAATGTTGATGATGTTTAACAAGAGAAAACAATGTTCTTTTTTCCTTTAAGAGGCATATAATACAGAAACATTTATTAACTATGTCACTCTTTTTTGTTTTTATGTTCTAAATATGCTAGTTCAAGTTATATCAGCAAAATAAAAATAGCTTGAATAGTTTGTGATTTCGTAAAATCATAATAACACGTATGTATAATTCGTGTTTCAAATTACAAACTTATTTTAAAATATGCAGCGTGTCAGAAAATTATGTTAACAAAACTGTTTACTCGTGTTTGAGAATGGAGCCTAGAAACTCTGCTACAGTTGTTTCTATAATTCCACTAGGACCAACAAAAGTAATTTTTAACACGTTTGGATTATCAATGCAACGCGACATGGGCCTAACTGGAGTTTCAAAACATTCAGAATAAATCTGTCAACATAATTTCCAGACTCCCTGTATATATCGTAATTAAAAAAAATTAGTTTGCTTCAGAGCCAACATTAAGGAATCCTTATTCTTTCAATCAGTTTTTAGAGAACAGAACATTTTGACTAAGTTGACAATGCGTTATTGAATATAATGTTGATATTTTTCAACAATCACCTGTTTTCTGGTGAATATGGAAGGCTTGAAGATCGTTGCCACCAACAATGGAAAATAAGAGTTTCAATTGGTCTGTTTCGTCCAAATCTGAAGCTCCAACCATTGTCACAAAATGACCTCGTTCTACTAATTCGGTTACTTCACAGCTGTAAACAGCGTGTCCAAATCTTGGAGGATTGTCGTTAAGGTCTGTTACCGTTACCCGGACATCGGCTGTGGCGCTCAGCGATGGTGATCCATTGTCTGCTACCATGACAACGAAATGATGCACCGACTGAATCTCGTGGTCGAGGGAGTGCTTGATGATGATGTTACCTTCGATTGGGTCCACGAAAAAATATGCCGTAGCCTTACCTAGCACACTGTACTGAAGTACCTGACTGGCATTTTTGTCAACATCTATGGCGTGTAATCGTAAAATAGTAGTTCCAAAAGATGCTGCTTCCGAAATTGTTACATTATACGTATCCTGAGTAAAAACCGGCGAATTGTCGTTCATATCTTCTACAGTAATATTTACCAGAACTTCGGAATAAGCTCCAGTTCTGGAGTCCGTAGCTCTCACTGTCAGATGGTGTTCAATGGAACTCTCGTAATCCAGGCTATCAGCAATATAGATAACTCCTGAAACAGTTTTCAAATCCAAAAATATTTGAAATATTTTTTTCAGCTTTGAACTTTAATCATTTATTATCTTCTAAATGTTTAACCCTATTGTGAAAGCGATGGTACAAATTACAAGTAATATAATTTTCACCAGCAGAAAAGTCTATGACAGCGCTCTTCTCTAATACAGACAAATATTGATTTTTGTAACACATACATGTACTTCCCCTGCCTTAGACAAATTTGACGTATCGTGTTTATTACATACTACCTAAATTATTAGCATTAATTAATCATAAACGTATAAATAATTACATGCAGATAGATCATTTATCGAAAGAATATATATATATATATATAATTGTTTTCTTTCCACGATCTTTGTATCAGAAACTTAAACTGTCAAAAAATGTTATAAAAAGCTATACTTGCAAAGATTTGTTAACCATTCAGGGTATTTACATCAGAAGTTTGTACACTTCGTAAACTGTTGAAACACTACATGAAATTAACTATGGCAAAGTACAGTTTCTTCCTATTGAATAACGTGACTATTTCTTTTGTTTTTTACAAGTGCACGTTTTCGATCTTCTGTAAACATGCCAATTTAATAATTCATACCTTATTTAGCGCGTGTCTACAAGCAATCCATTTAAGAAATCTTTGTGATCCGTGTGCTTTTGGTTACTATAACATTTAATTATATTTTTAATATAAGATGAAGAGAAGAATAAGAAACAACGAAACCGGAACAAACAATATGGTAAAAGCTGTGAATCAGTTTCGTACATTTCCAGCTGTTTACGGAAGTCTTCAGATGTACATTTACTGATCAAATTATTGCTAACCTACTACGTAATAGAATAACTTCATTTTTTTTTTATTTTAGAGTATGAAGTAAAACTGACCGTTTTGAAAATCTACGTCAAAGAGGCTCTCTTCGTTTCCTTCAACTATAGTGTAAATGACTTGACGACCATATGGACTTTCTGCACCAAGTGACAACAAAGGAACGTTGGAACGTGCACTTTCCGGGACCGTGACATTGTAGAACTGCTGAGGAAAGGTGGGCATTCCCTGATGTGTCACTTTAATATAAACGGTTGCCTCGCTATGAAGTGGTGGTTCACCTGTGACGGAACGACACAAAATATACACTAATTAGAATGGACAGTGAAACTTAAAACTTTGAAAGTCATTTGACTGATTGAATTTACTGCAAAGAATCTTCAGTGAATTCAACAACCAAATATTTAGACCAATGTCATCCTTTCAGATAAAATGTTTGAGGAGAGCAAAATTGTGTCAGCATATAGAACATTCTCTGTACTGTGCTTCTTTTATTCGTTTGTGAAGAAAACTTCAATCACCCAATATGTGATTGTATTATATCCTGCAAAGTGTAAGGGAGCTTATCAAGATCTGGCAACTGCTCATCTGCTTCATAGCAAATGACCCCTCCCCCTAACTCAGAAAAGTTTTAATCTAACAAGAAGAACGACAGGTAAATGAGAGATACGTTTAAATTCCCACTACATTTTACAAGAAGTCTTCTTAAACGAGCTTAGTCGTTGTGGCAGAATGATTGCAGATCTAACAGAGGACTTTTCCTCCTCAAGAAAGAGTAAAATTACTAATTTCTTGTGTTATTCGTTTATAGCTAAAACGTGAACAATGCTTCGATGTTAATACAGTACTGATACTGTAGAAAAACAAACTGCATTTTTTATATTACTAGGTTAATAATTAAAACAAACTTTACATCTACAGTAATGTAATATTTTACGTTATCTTGTCAAAAACTCTCATCCTCATGTAAACTTTACACTGTATTTATGTACTTTCTCACCGTTATCGAATGCAGTTATAACCAGGACGTATTCCTTTACATCAGTCCTGACGAGTCGTTGAAGACGAATTTCTCCGAGTCTGCTATCAACAGCAAATATGTCTGTACTACTTTTGGCTAGTTTATAGGAAATTAATTTGTTTAAGCCTAGATCTTTATCCACTGCCTGAACCTGAGAAAAGAATAATATTAAAAATGGAGCCTTTCAATGCAATTTGCAGCGTACTGTTTATTTTGGGTGTATATTTAAATATACGTACACATTTATGTATGTGCATGCTCAGAATTATACAAAGTTATGTCAGTTTTGATATTTAAAAGATTCAGAAAAGAGAGCAAGATAACAGCATCTCCCAATCGTCAGTAATGCTTTTAAAACATCTTCAGACAAATAAGAATTTTAAAAGTTTTATCTAAGGCAAGAAGATGCCTTGTTATCTGAAAAGGTTAAGTGTGTATATATTTATACAGTTTAATTTAAATTATTGTGTTTTGAAATGCCACCTACATTTATTAATAACGAATCAATTTCACTAACAATTACCAAAAGTAATTGAATGCACTAGAATGTTTAATATGAAATATCACATAGCTAAGAACAAAACTGAAACACTGGTAGGCATTATTGAAAGCACATATCCC